CCGCGTCCCACGCCGCCAACTCGCGCTCCTCCCTCTCACTGAGCGCCGCCCAAGCCCGCCTCGAGGCGCTCACCGCGGAGATCGCCGCCCTCACCGCACAGCTGAGGAACCCCTTCACCCGCCTTGCCAGTCTCCCCGCCACCAGCCCCGCCGCCAGCGCCGCCGCCAGCCCCGCCGCCAGCCCCGCCGCCAGCCCCGCCGCCAGCGCCGCCGCCAGCCCCGCCGCCAGGGGGCAGCCGCCCATGCCCGCCGCCTGGGGGCAGCCGCCCATGCCCGCCGCCTGGAGCTCTTGGGGGTTGCCCATGCCCCCAGGGGTGTAGGAATTCTCTTCAAAGGGCCTTGTGTTTTGAGGCTCAGTTGTCAGTCGAAACTGACGGGGCTGCGGGGGCGGGGCCAGCGAGGCAAAGCGCTCCAATCCCCAATCCATTGTGCATGCACATTGGGCCAGTGCGCTCCGGGCAGCGCACACGCATGCATTTGTGATATAGTTTGAATCAACGGGTTGCGAACAGCAACCGGCTAAAGTAATTCCATTCCACATTCACTGTCTGTGGGCTGTGGTTGTGGCACACAGCTCGCGTTACAATTTACAAAACCTTGTTTGGTCATTTGCGCCATATTCTCGGCGCATCCGCATTCGGTATATTACTCTCTAAGCCGGTAACCGGCTCTCGGTGCCTTCCAGAGGCAGCTGCGACCCCGCCGAGTGGACGGCGGGGGGGCCTCACATCCAGGGCCGGGGAGCTAAGAAGCCCGCACCCAGCGGGCCGGGTGATCGGCATCGCTTCGGGCTACGAGCATTTAATGCACACACAGCATGTAATCTTACACACGATGCGCCCGCATCCACATCATCACCGAAGCTCGACAGTAAGGGCACTCATCGGGCAGCCGTTGGGAGCAGATGGCACACGCGCAGAGGTGACCACACGGTACCGCAATGTGAGTCTTGGGGTGGGTAAAGCAAACGATGCACGTCGACTCGCCGCCGTTGGAAGACTCAGCGTCCGCCAGGCGGTCGTGTCTTGAAGCTGTGAGGCTCGCCAGGGCGATGGAGGGCGACTCCCTCTGAAGGGCCACCGTCGTCTGCGCTTCCCCTGCCGCCGCATGCAGCTCCAGCTTCGCCTCTGGCGTCATCGTTGCCAGCGCCGCGTGGCCCTCCCCTTCATCCTCCTCCTCCGCTGCCCCCTCGCCCGCAACACCTCCCACGCCCTTGACATTGCCCTTCGTCTTCTTCTTCTTCTTCTTCGCCTTCTTCAGCGCCTTTGCGCGCGCCTCCGCCTCCGCCTCCGCCTCGATCTCAGCCAGAAGCGCCTCGCCTCGCCGCGTCGCCTCCGCGTCCGCCATTGCCTTCGCCTTCCCAGCTGTTGCCACCGCAGCCACCGTTTCCACCCGCACAGCCGCCTTTGTGTTCGCCGCCAACTCTACCGTTGTAGCTTTGCATGTGTCGTGTGCCTCCTGAAGGGAAGATCTGGTTTCCCCAATGGTCCCGAGACGACTCTTCAGCCGCTGAAGGTGCTCCTTGATGGCCTGGACGCACAACGAGTCGCCCAGCCCCTCCAGGACCCTTGCCATCTGCAGTGCCGTTATGCCCGTCTCATCGCGCAAGTGAATCGACGCGCCGGCGTGAAGCAACATCTCCACAACCTCGGGGCGGTTTTTGTTGATGGCGTACATCAGAGCCGTGGTGCCGTGGCTGTCGCACAGGTCGACCGCTGCGCCCTGCGAGAGAAGCGCCTGCACCATCTGTCGCGAGCAGAACGGGCGCCCGCTGATCCTTCCAGCAGCGACCATCAGGGCGGTCTCGCCGCTTGGACCGCGTAGATTGACGTCGGCACCTACAGGTCATGCCGTGGAAGAGTCATGAACGTGCGACGGGCACTCGCCACCAGAATCGACAGCACGCCGTGCTGAAGCAGCACCGTCAGCACGTCATCATTCCCGCTGTAAATGGAGCCCAAGAGGGCATGGCTGCGACGGGGGGAACGGTAGTCGACATTCGCCCCATGCTGTAGCAGCGCGACGCATATTGGCGCGTTGCCCTTTGCGGCCGCCGCCATCAGCAGCGAGACTCCATGGAGCTCGCCGTTTGTGAAGGTTGCGCAGGAACAGCCGCCGCCAATCAGCCACGTCTCGATCACCCCTCCATCGCCTCGCAAGAGTGCCTGCACAACGGTATCAGGTGCGGTCTCGATCACCCCTCCATCGCCCGGCAAGTTTGCCTGCACAACGGTAGGTGCGGCCGTCGGGACGACCTTGCCAGCCCTGTTGTCAATGAACGCTTCCGATAGTGGGTAGGCCCGGGCGGGGAAGGTTTGCTCAGCTGGAGAAGCCAGTTTGCGCTCTGCGACCGCGCCGCTGTTCGCCGCGCAACCGGCGCCAGAAGGAGTGACGCGCGCAGCCCGGGCCGCGCAAAGGGCCGCGCAATGGGCTCCGGAAGCCATGCACTGCAGACCCGGCCAGACAGAAGTTTCATGCGCCCGAACTTGGCCTCGTGTACGTCATTACGAGAAGATAGAGAGATATACGAAATAAATTACGTAGCATTAAGAAAGCAGGAGTGCGCGGCACGCCGCGCCGTCGTTTCTAAGCCTTTCCTCCATTAGGTTAGGTTAGGTAGAAAGGTGAAGAACAGTCAGTCAGGCAGGCTCGGACTGGACACCAGCCAGCGCGTTCGTTATGGGTGGACGCGGGACACGATCGAGCTCTGTAAAGCACAAGTCTGTCGGCGATGCCGGATAAGGGATGACGTCCACGAGGATGCCGGATGCCCCGGGAAGAAAAGACAGAGGGGACAAAGAAATTCGCTAAAAGGGATTTTCATGAATTTGGTGAAGGCGTGCCGATTTTTTCTTTTTTCAAGAACACTATTTTGCGTCGCACCCAGCAGCGCGGGACGCACAGTCCGAACCGACTGGCTCAGCGCGCGCTCGCGCGGAAGACACAGATGGGCGGAAAGGGTCGCGCGCAGGCAAAGATGAAGATTATGGCCAAGTTGGGCGAGAACCTGTACCGCACGACCAAGGTGTTTGGGCCGATGTGGGAGAAGCAAAAGGCGCGCGCAGCACCCCGCGCCGCGCCGCGGCTTCGGCCACTGCAGCACTCACGCGCTCGATTCGGCAGCGCCATGCAAAAAGCACCCACACGCTGCACCAACCCTTCTGAGGCCTGATGCCCCCGCGCGTGCCGCAGTGGCAGAGGTTCCGCACGGTGGAACGTGACAACATCATCGCTTGGCAGGCCAGCTCATCCACGCCTCTCACACTGCCCCTCACACTCCGCCCCTCACTGCCCACGCACCGCCCGTCACCCACTCCTCACGCCTCACCATCGCCTCCTCCTCTGCCCGCGCCCGCCTTACCGCTCGCCGTCCGCGAGCGCAGAAGTGGAGAGAGGCGGAGAAGAGGCTGCAGCGGGACGAGGCGGCGAGGCTCAAGATCGGAGCTGTAGCGGCGGGCGGCGGCGAGGGGAGCACGGCTGGGGCTGCGCCAGAGAGCGACGGGGCGTGAAGGATGGTGTGGAGTACGTTTATTTGTGCGGCGATGAAACGGTGAAGTATAGTTACACATCAAACCATCTCGTCGCCGCCGCCGCTTCCCCGTGCAGACGCGAGCAGTTCCTCGGACTCGAAAGCCGCCAGGTCGAGCGCCTGTGATCACACAACCCGGTCGCGCGCGTCGGCGTCCTGCACAAGCCACGCCGGTGGACACGTGCGCGGGACAGGGACACAGGTGTCTCGCGAGGTTGTGTGCACCCAGCTGTAGACGCTCTGCACGAGGTCGCCCTTCTCGATGGCGCCTGTTCACAGCCGCGTCCGAAGTGAAGAGGTGGGCCCTCCCGGAGGACGCCCCCCCTCTCTCTCTGGTCGGCGGCGGCGCCGCGGGTGGAGATGCCCTTGCGCGCGAGGAAGCGTCGCAGCGTTCGGATCGGCAAGTCGGCGCAGCAGCGCGCCTCGGAGCGGGAGAGAAGGCCGTGAGGTGACACAGAAAACTCCGAGAGATACGAGAGCTGGCCGTTGCAGCCGGGAGAGGGCGGAGAGAGACAGCCCAGCCAACGCACAGCTCGCGCCTTGCAGTGGCGCGCGCAGAGCTGGAAGAAGCAGTAGGAGCAGACACGCCGCCGCGTGCGGCCGCTGCCCGCGCACGCCGTCAAATAGCTCGTGTCGCAGTGAGAGGCAGTCATGGCAAAAGACCTGCAGAGGCGGCGGCAAGTGGCGGTGGCGGCATGGGAGGTTCGGATTCAGAGGCGGAGGAGAAGGGCGAGCGCAGACGTTGTGGCAGTGCTCACACTCTACTCGCCAGCGCGAGAAAAGGGAGAAGGCAGCGCCGCAGTCCACGCAGGCGAGGAGGACGTCGGGGTCACCCTCTGATGGAACCTGTGGACGCGTTCCGGTTGGTGGACGTGTCGCGCTGGGCGTGTGCCTGTGTGGCCGAAGCGTCCTGGTGGTGCAGCAGGCCCCGCCAGGCTGCCAAGGCGTGAGCAAGCGCCGCCATCGTCCCACGAGCATAGAGCCGTAGCCGCAAACACGCCGAGTGTGCCGTTTGCCTGCCTGTGCTTTTTCGCGCCTCATCCTCGCCGTGTGGGTCGCCTCTTGCGTAGCGCTTGTAGAAGGCCGCCGAGTCACCCTGGCGGCGGCGCATTGGGTCGATTAGCTTAGTCTGATCGACAATACAGCCACTCCAGCACGCTCGACCCGAGCTCGACTTGTGGCGTTACAAGCAGATCAACGTATAAACGGGCTCCTGTCTGTGGCAGGCGATCGGTCACAAAAAAAACCGAGAGCGATATGCCATGTCCGCCTTGCGTTTGTTTTCATAACATCGAAGGCTAAGCTCAAAAAAACAGACAAGACAGGCCAGGGGGGGGGGCGCGGCCTTGAGTTATGTGTACGCCAACTCAGGGTGTGTGGCAGCCAGCTGGCTGTGTGTCTTGTGAGCTTGTTTGTGTCTGTGTGTTGCTCGTGCGTGTCGTCATCATCTGTCTTGCGTCCACCCATACCGCGTTGGTGTCCAGTCCGAGCCTGACTGTTGTTCATCTTTCTACATACATACATACATCAGCATGTCTCTGCTCGTCTCCCTGCTCCTCGCTCGGCCGGGCGGCGGCTCGGGTGGTGCGGAGGCGTCGCCGCTGCGCGTGCGCGCGCGCGGGGCGGCGCTGGAGCACGCCTGCTGTCGCCGCCACGGCGCGACGCCCGGGGCCGAACGCGGAGTCGGACAGACTTTTGGCGAGGACCGAGAGCGTCTTCTAACCGAGCATCTTAACGCCGACCCGCTCTCCTGCGGCGAGCCGCGGAGGAGGGGCTCGTGCGATCCGGCCGAAGCGGCGGCGCGTGACGCGCACACGCCCCGCTCGCCCGCGGCCGCTGTGGCATGGCTGGCGAGATCCAGCTTTGCCTCCTCGGCGAGGTTTACGAAGCTGACCTCGCTGCTGTGCTGCCGACGCGGCGTTTGGCTCGTGAGATGCGCGCGGCCGCGCGTGGTGAGGGATAGGCAGGCGGCGGCGGCGTCGCAGAACGAGGCAGAGGAGAGAGATGCGACAGAGGAAGAAACGCCGAGGGAGAGAACGACGAGAGTGGGACGACCGCGAGGTGGAATGAAGGCTGCAGCGAGAATCGGCGAGAGACTGCGAAGAGAGATAGGAAGAGGCGGACGCCCAAGGATGGGCGATGGCTAGCGCACCACACTCCTCTCCTTAAAATCCCTGTGTGGTGGCGGCGTGCCGTCCTCCCATCCCTCTCTTGGCTTGTCCGTTTTCTTTCTTTCTTTCTGTGCCCAGTGTCCAGTGTCCTTAAAAAAATCCCCGTGTGGTGGCGGTGTACCGTCCTCCCATCCCTCCCTTGGGATGTCTGTTTTCTTTCTTTCTTTGCTGTGCCCAGTGTCGTGCCAAAAGAAATAGCATCGCGCCTGATCGGCCCGAATCGGAGCGCGCGCGCGCGGGTCATGCGCGAGGGCGGATAGGCGGGCTATCTCGAGCTCTTCGAGCGGGCGCTGCGCGGCAGCGCAGAGCGGGGGCATGTGCGCCTGAACGGAAGCGTGCCGGTGTCGCTTGATTGGGTAGCTCTCTTCTTGTAAACCGATTTTGCACTACCTTACACATTAAAAGCGGTGTCTATATGGCGACTCGGCCGCTCTCGAACACATGGCGCCAGCCTCGCCCCATCGCACGGTGGAGCGGGTACGACCAGGGAAGCAAATTGAACTGCGCAATCGCAATCAGATGCCCCTCGAGCTGCCGCCCGTGCTTTGCCTCGAGTGCATCTAGCAGTGCCGCCTGGCCCGCGAGGCCGATCCGATTCATAATGGCCGTCACGCGACATTCCTTACCCGCGGCCGGGAGGGCAGCCGCGAGTGCCATCGCGCCCTTGTCGCCCACATCGCACCACCCAAAGACCATTGGCAAAGCCCAGCGTAGAGAGCTTAGCTCGGCGGAGCACCGCTCGAATGTCGTCCAGCCGCGAGTGTCGTAGGTCCGGCTCCGGTCAAAGCCGGCGGGCAGCTTGTTCACGCGCTCCAGGGCCTCCTTCAGGCCAGCGAGGTCAAAGCCGCGCCTGGCGCCTTGCTCGATCCGCCTCAGCTGAGCAGAGCTTAAGAATGCCTCCTCTGGCAGGTCCTGCCGCCGCGGGAGCACGCCGCCCCTCTCTGCCAGCGCCATGAGCCAGTTGAGACTGATAAGCCGCACATCTCCCGGCCGGACCTTGTCGCCGTCACCCTCGAGGGCAGCCCAGACGGAGGCGTGCTCGCGGTAGCGGGCGCCGTCGCGGTAGCGGGCGCCCCCCTTTGTGTTCGACCACCGAGCGCGGTCGTTCTCGAACGGTGTGAAGACCGATTTCGATGTCGGGGAGCGTTGACTCGCGGTAGGGGAGCTGTGAGGCGCATCGGCAGAGGCTGTAGACGGCGAGGATGAGAGGGTTCCGGAGGAATAGAATCTCGATCAGAGTTGTCGCTGCGAATAAGATGAGAATCGGCAGGTCGACAAAGAGCACCATCGGAATCAGATATGGAAGGCGACGCCAGGCGAGGAGGGCGGGAGGCACGCCAACAGCAGCGTCGGAGCTGCGGAGGCCGAGCGCGATCCACGGCGAGACAATGAGACCGGGGCCCATAGAGAGAATCAAACCGATTGGGGGGAAGAGCAAAACCAGGCAGGAGCACCACGCTTGCGTGAACCCGATGCCAATCATCCGGCCCGCTGGGTGCGCTTCTTAGATCCCCGGCCCTGGATGTGAGGTTAATGACTGCACTCCAAGTGCTCCAAGTGCGTGGATACGTGGCTGGCAGGCTGCCCCCGTGTGCGGGGTAACCCGCGGATGTGCCGAGGGGGACCGGGAGGCGGTAAGTCGTCGTTGCCCGGCGCTGGCTAAGAGGTTCCTCTTTTCCGCGCCCCCCCCCGCAAGGCGCGCGATACACAATAAATGTGCGCTGACTGCACTCCAAGTGCTCCAAGTGACCTCTACGTACAAAATCAGACGCCGTACGACCAACCGAGACCATGGTGCGCTTGCCCGCCCCGCCCGTGCCCGCGGCGGCCCGCGCGCGCGCGGGAGTAGCAGGAGTAGGCTGCGGGTCGTATCTCGCCGGTGGCTCGCCGCCGGCTGGTGATCCCCGGGAGCAAAGACCGGTGGAGCCAGACAGTGTGTACGCGCTTTGAAAATTTTGAAAAATGGCGACAACAGAACCCTGCCAGAACCCTGCAGCAGCAGCAGCGCGCCCGCAGCCCGAGCCGGAGTGAGGAGGCGACGCCGCTGGGCGGACGCCGGAAGCAGCGAACAAAAAGCGAGGCGCTCCGGTGCTCCGGTGCGTGCGGCAAGTACCAAGTAGGCGAGAAGGCGAGAAGGCGCAGCAGGCGCAGCAGGTCCGGGACGGGGTGCGGTCCGATCCATGCCGCCCGCCCTCGGACTGCGATGGGTGATAGCGTCAGCGAACCCGTGAGCCGTGAACTGATTGGCCTAACACCCACATGAATGATCGTGTGGATATAAGTGGGGATCCAATGGATACTGTACCCGCGACCGCCCAAAGCCGTACTGTACCGTACTAATTGTCCAAGTAGGATCCTGCTAGTCAGATCCTACTAGTCTGGACATAGGATCCTCTACCTCTGAGAGCTCCAGAATCCGAATATACTGGAAATTAGCGTGCGCAAGGGATCCCAATAATGGACCCGGCCTGGCTGCGCGCCTGCGCAGCTGCAGTCCGCAGCCCGGCCATCACGTACTGGATGTTCTCGCGCAGCTGCGCGCGCGGGGGCTCCGCGCGCTCGGCCTCGCTCGCAGCGCGCTCGCCGGCCTCCTTCGCCCGGCGCTCCTTCTGCCGGGTCTTCTTGGCCTTGCGAGACGCGGCCTTTGCCGCGATTATTATCTGTGAGCTCCTTCTTCTTCGGCGCGGTGCGCTCGACGTACGAGCGCTCCGCCGCCTGCACAGACTCGCGGTGCGTCGCCCGCGGCCTTCTCGTGCTTCAGGTCGACCTCGATGGTCGCGTAGCCAGGCCTTATCACCCTGACACAAGACGCACCTGCGACCCTTCCGATCATCACCGCGTCCTCCAGTTGCGCGCGATCATGTAGCTATTCCAGGGTCCGCCGCGCATCCCCGGCAGTACGACGGTGGCCGGCGCTTGCGCGCCAGCCCCGTCCGCCACCGGGTCCGCGGCCGCGGTCCCTGTCATAAAAAGCCGTAGCTACGCGCGCCATGGAGATCGGCACGACGGCGGGCGCGACGAACAAACGAGAAACATATAACTGTCACGTGACGTCAAAGCATAAAAGGTACGATTATTCAACTTATATATCACTGCCTATACGCTAACTACCCCGACCCCTCGAAGCCGCAAGCGGCTGCGGCTGGACAGTTCAGAGTGCAAGCGTGTCACCAGCCCAGTGCCGCTTCCGGCGCCGCGAACAGGTACCACCAGACGAGCTCGCAATAGTACGAGGTGACCGGGTCGCGGCCGCCGCTTGCAAGCTCCTCGAGCATCGCCCGATAGAGCGCGCGCGGGTGGCGGCGCACGGCGGCGGCGCTCACGCCGAACTGCGCGCCCTGCGCGTGGTAGAGGCGCGAGGGCGGTGCGCCGCCGAGAAATCTGCGCCAGAAGCGCTCGAGCGAGCCTGCCGCGCGCTGCTCCGCTTGCCGGCGCTCGATCCAATGCATCGAGGTCGCGAGCATGCTGAGCCCCGCATCAAGCTTGCGGTAGGGCACCGCGACGCGGCTCCGGTTGACAAAGCGTGTGAGCGCGCGACGGGAGCGCAGCGACGCCTCGTACTCCTCGTCGCTCTCGCCACCACCGCTCCACAGCCCAAGCGGCTGCAGCAGCACCGGCAGCCGCGCACGGTTGGTGGCTTGCCAGGAGGCTGCGTGGCCGGCGGGCGGGCCGACGAGCTCCCCCGTGAAGAAAGCGGCGCCGGGCGGCGCGTAGCCAGTGCGAAAGGCGAGGCCGCGGAGGTCTGAGCGCGCGACGGCGGTGAGAGGAAAGAAGGCCTCTCGCTGCTCGTGTGGCGGCTCGGCGGCACGCACATAGTCCGCCACTGTCAAACCGGTGGGCAGGTGGCCGTCAGGATCGCCTTGCATGAAGACGGTCCATGGCGCGAGGGTCTCGTAGCGCTCTGCGATGTGACGGAGCCACGTGTGCGACTCGCGGCCGACATTCGGAAGCGCGATCACTCGCGGCGGTGGTGAGGTGACCTCAGCCGACGCGCCCGCTTGCGGCAGCGCTTCGCCCTTGTTGTAGATGGTGCAGTTGAAGCCGCTCGCGGCGCACCACGAGGCGTCCTCTGCGTATCTGGCGACCACCACCTCCACCGGGGAGGAGGAGGAGGACGACGGCGGCAACGATGACGAGCATGCGCCCGCCGCGTCCGCGCCCGCCGCCGCCTCGCCCGCTACCGCCGTCGCACTGGCCCGTAGCAGCCCTGCCGTCGCATTGGTCCGTAGCAGCCCCGCCTCTCGCAACGCTGTCTCGAGGGCGCGGGCGACGCGGATCACGGGAGCGACGACCTCCGCCGCCGAGTGCAGCGCCGCCCCACGCAGCGGCACTAGATGGTAATGAAGGCCGAGAGCATACGCAGTATGGGCTGTGTAGATGGCGTGTGGCTCAGGCAGGCCCATCTCAATCGCATGCGCGCCGTCCCATGCAAAGAGCAGATTCGCCCAGCCAGCGCCGTGCACGCCGATGATCGCGACGGCGCGAGAGAGCACCCGCATCGTCTCGGTCAGCCTTGTCGACGGTGCGTCGGAGAGCAGAGCAATTGGCACCTCCCCGCCGTCCGCTGCGGCGGCGACGGCGCCGATGGCGCTGAGCAGCTGCGGCTCATTGCGTATGCGACGGATCTTTGCGGCGGCGCGCTGGAGGTACACAATGGGTCGCGGCGTGGGCACGGCGAGGGTGGCGCCGGGGAGGGCGAGGCGCGATCGCAGCAAGCGAAGGGCGGCGCGCGGAGGCAGATGAGCGAGGTCAGCGGCGGGCGGCGAAGCGAGCTCGGCAGCCAGTGGGTCTGCAAAGTCGCGAAGCAGGCGGGCGGCGGTGGCCGCGCATTCGGAGGCGTCGTTGGCGGCGCACGTGCCGGGCGGCGCTGGGGGCGGCGCCTCCCAATCCACAACCAGCAATGTCGCCGCATGCACGCGAGCGGCGGCGGCGGCACGCACGCCGCCCTTGCCCTCTGCCCCACCGTTGATCGGCCGTATCGGGTAGGGAAAGGAGTTGGCCTTCTCGATGCCGAGCCGCTCGAGCAGAGCCCACATCCATGGCTTGAGGCTGCTCCGGTCCGCCGGGAGCATCACGCGCAGCCGACGTTTCCGACGCTTTCGGCGCGTGGCACTGTCGTTGGCACTGTCGGCATCGATGGCATTCTCGGCGTCGATGGCGGCATTGTCGGCGCGGACGGTGTCGATGGCGATGACGAGCCGCGCGAGAGCATCCGCGACAAACGAGTAGAAATTGGCCGCAAACAGCTGCACCAAGCTGACCACCACCTCCTCCTCCGCCTCCTCCGCCGCCTCGGCTTCGGCGCCGACGCCAATCCGCCGTATCGCGCCGTCGCGCGCTCGCTCGGCCACGCTCTCCCTCGGAAGATTGAGGTGTAGCGGTATCTGATGGCCATGCGACGGCAAGTGGACATTGCACGCGCCATCGCTCACCACGCCCTCGTTGCCAGAGATCCAAACGTCGCGAAGCTCAGCGACGAACACACTGCGATCGGCAAAGCGGAGCGACGGCCAGCGCAGACCGGCGCGGTGCGGCCACGTGCGCGCCGAATACGGCCGCGGCGCTGTCCGCCCGTACAGTCGACGCGGTGACGCCGCGTGATGCGTGCGCACCGCGGCGACCGCACCACCAACGGGATGGTCGGCCCAGCGCGTCGGCCCGCCGGTCCACGAGGTGACGTCGGCAGTGTCGCATCGCATCTCTTGGCGCCACGTCGCGTACGCCAGCCGCTGCGCGCTCGCGAAAAAGGGCGCCGCGGCGTCGCCCGTCCCGAAGAGCTGGTCGGTCCGCGCAACCTCGTAGTGCAGCGATGCGCTGGCCGGCGAGAGCGAGAGCGCCGCAGAAAAAGCGGCGGCGCCACCAAGCCGACCAGCCTCGTAGAGAACGCGCGCCAGCAGCGAATACGCCTCCGCACGCTCCGGCGCCAATTGGATTGTTCGCTCGAACGCCGCCGCCGCCTCGTCGAGTCGCTTGTCGTCGCTAAGAGCAATTCCGAGGTTTTCCTGCGCCGTCCACGACACGGGATTGATGGCGAGCGAGCGCGAGTATTCCTCCACGGCGGCGGCATGCCTGCCGGCCGCCGCCAATTTTGCGGCCACGTAGAAGTGGTCGGCGGCCGAATCCACTCCTGTGGTCTTCATGGACACCTGCCGGGGTTCCAACTTTTTGCGGGGTATGGTACCCTCCGCCCAAAGGGTGGGGGGGTATGGTCCTGACCGCCCATCCCCGGTCTCCGGGAGGCTGGGTCTGTCAGCAGGCGGGGGTATGGTCTCGAGGTGGGTTGCGCGAGGGTACCATACCCCGCAAAAAGTCCGAACCCGGCCGTGGCCGGCGGAGACTCCTCTCTCGAGGTTCTATGCGAGTCGACTGGTGTGTGTCGTCGTGGTTTCGTATCAATCACGAATACTCACTCACTCACTCTGGGCATGGGCGCGGCATGGGCAAAATTCTTTTATCAGGGCTTCAGAGGTGAACCACGCACTTGGAGCACTTGGAGTGAAAGTCATTAACCTCACAATCAGGGCCGAGGAGCTAAGAAGCGGACCCGAGAATTCTTTTATGAGGCAACACCGAGCGGGCGCTGCTCGACTTAGTGTTAGGGCATGCTGCATGGCCTCGGCCGGAGGGGGGGGGGGAGGGGGGGAGGGAGGCGGAGGATGCAGAGGCGGAGGCGGCGGCGGCGGAAGAGGAGGAGGGGGAGAGTGAGGGGGAGGCGGAGGCGGGGGCACCTGTGACGGCCCGCTACGAGAAGGGCGACTACCGGTTCGCGCGGGAGAAGAATTGCGACCTGCGTTTGCTCGACTTCGAGACGTTCGGCGGCTTCGGGGACGGCGTCCGCAAAATTCTTCGGCAGGCGGCGGACCAGCTGAGCAACAAACTTTCGCACGCTCAGCACCTTGATGAGGTCACATGGACCACCAAGAACTGGCACGGGCTGCAGATGCAGCGCTTGTCTGTCGTTCTCCACACCGCCGTGGCGTGGCAGACGGTGAACGAGCTAGCGTGCGGGGACAGCGGCATTGTGCACGGAGCTAAGTGCATTGCCGTTCTTAACGGAGTTGCTTAGGCGGCTCCGGTGGTGTGCCGGTGATAGTACTAGCACGCGCCAGTTCGCACCTGTGTCGAGCCTGTGTGCTGTGAGAGAGACTTGTTTTATTTAAATTCTTTTACTGTGCCTCTTTTGGTATTGTGGCGTACCTGTGTCGAACCTGTGTGCTGTGAGAGAGAGTTCGCTTCGTTGAATTCTTTTATGATCTCCAGCAGCTCGCCTTCGATCGCACGCCCTTCCCTCTGACCTTTGCTCGCCTCTCGCCCATGCCCTTCGTATACTCGCCCGACAGCAAGCAGAAACGTTGGGCCCAGTCATTTGTTTCGGAGGAGGAGGCGAGCAGGCACAGCGAGACTCTTCGCCAGCGGAAGACCCAAAAGGAGGGCGAGGAAGAGCTCCTCTCGACCCGGGCTGTCTCTGGTTCTTTCGATTCGCCGGCGAAAAAAGCGAGGCCTGGCCCGCGGCCAGCGCCAAAGCGCGCGACGCTGGGCGATCTCGCCCTGCTCCTTTTCTTTCTGATGGTGCTGTACGTACTGGTGACGCTTGGGCCCGAGGCGAAGCGCCTGTGGTTTGTGTATCTCTCCGAGGCGAGAGAGCGAGCCAAGGAATACAAGGCGTGGAGGGAGGGCAGGCTCTGAGCCGCTCTATTGCGACATCGGGTCGGCCGTTGGTGGCTAGCAGACCGGCCTTACAACCGAGCTTGCACCAGCCGGCAGCACACAGACCGACGACCACGGCGCCGCCCACGGGAGCCTGGCAGCATTTCGGGACCTCGATGGGACCTAGCTACGAGATTTTACGGCGCGCTGACCCTGCTGTCTGCACGAGACACTCCCCAGTATCTGACTGGCGTCATCATGTATACGTAAGAACCAAGTACGCAAAACTTTTTTCTCCAGCCCCAGCCAGGAGCCTTCGCCAACTAAAAAACACAGCACACATGACGACTTAGTGTGGGGAGGGTCGGCGAGCACTCACTCACTAGGCGGCGCCGCAGGGCCGGGGCACTGGCCACGGCCTCGCCGACCACTAGAAGGCGGCCCACCCACTACGCGCACTATCTTAGTGCGCGGGGTGGGCGGGAGGCACTCACCCACTAGCCCGCTCGCCGGCGGCCCACTCACTACGCGCACTATCTTAGTGCGCAGGGTGGCGGGAGGCACTCACCCACTAGCCCGCTCGCCGGCGGCCCACTCACTACGCGCACTATCTTAGTGCGCGGGGTGGCGGGAGGCACTCACCCACTAGCCCGCTCGCCGGCGGCCCACTCACTACGCGCACCAACTTAGTGCGCGGGGTGGGCGGGAGGCACTCACCCACTGTCCGGACACAGCGAATCGATTTCACTTTTGCGAGCGAGTGTGAAGTGATGACGGATGCTCCCACCGAGTTCCTACACTCTGACACTCACTTGCAAGCGTCGGCTCCCAAGCAGCAGCCAAGATGAAGGACGCTGGAGATATTGGTATCGCTGAGCTGATGTGTGCACTAGACCTATATGAGTATCATTGCGTGCTGTGGGCGAATACGGTGCCGATGGTGGGATGAACTGTGTCAGCAGTCGAGAGTCGACTCTCGACGCAAGCCGCAGACGTCGACCTTCCATCTGCGCGATCCACCATCCGCGCCGTGGTGGCTCCAGCGCGCTTCCTTACCATAGTTACGACGCAAAGCCACATGGACTGGTTCGCCGAGTTTGGCACTGCGGCGGCCGGGAGACATCCGTTCATTATAGCAAATCGCTCTGCTGGACTGCTCCCGACACAGTAAGGGCCAGTACACGGACGCAGAGGGGAAGTGCCATGTGGAGGCGTTGCTCTTCGAGGAGTTCGGCGCAATGAGCGCGGGGGTGGAGGAGCTGCTGATGCGGGTGGCTGAGGTGGCGGGCCGGAAGCTCACGTGGTGGCAGTACGACCAGACGTCGTGGTCGGCGCGCGAATGGATGCCGTTTGCGCTGCAGCGACTGTCGGTGCAGCTCTGGGTGGCGCTCGCGGACGAGGCACAGCGCGCCATTGGTGCGGCGTCGCGCGACCGCGAGGGACCGCGGGGGAATGCTAGTGGGATGGGGGGCTCTGAGGGGAAGGGAGCGGGGGGCGCCCAGTAGGGCGCCGGCACCCCAGCGTAGAGGGCGTCGTGTAGCCCTCCTTTTGGTATAATATTTCGCGCAATCGCTTGACTCTGAAAAGCTCGCTATGTACCTTTCTGAGCGCTGTGGACGCCGCAGACTGGCTCCGACTTGACGGGCGCATGGAGACGTGATGCCTCCATGCGCCCGTCGCGTCGAAATCGACTTGCAGCTCGATGGTTTGCCGAAAAGGTACATAGCGGCGTTTTGGGCGACAACAGCGCTGCGACCGCGAAGTGGCGGTGGACATGCTCCCACGGTGCCGACGCGGCGCCGGAGTGGCCGGCGCTGCTCGCCGCGACCACGACGGCTACTCCGCTGCTCCGGGCCGACCCGTCCTACCCGACGGTGGCACTCTTCCACGTCTCGCTCACGCTGAGAAAAATTCTGAAGCGGCGTGCAGCATAGTCGCCGACGAGTCGGTCCGCGTGCCTCCCCGTGTCGCGCATCGTTCTCACCCATCCATAAACTCACTTTGGCCTCACTAAAGCGATGCCTCAATCCTGAATCCTCAGATTTTAGATTAGGACGCTGTGGGCCCTCTACCCAAGGCCCGGGGGTGTCTCGACTCTTCTCGTGTGGTCGATCCGCAGCGTTCTGCTCCACGAGCGCGACGCGATGACGTCTGACGTGACACTTGCTGCGCCGCCAGCGCACGCCGCACCAGCGCCACGCACGGCCGCGCACCAGCCGGGAGCCAGAGCCAGATAGGTTACTGGTTAGCGGCGGGTATTACACCACTCTCTCTCTCCCGCACCGCAAGCGCCGCCGCGTGCCGCGGTCCTCACGCCCTCACGCCGCCGCTTTGCTGCGGAGGAGTCCGGCGGCGGCGGCGGCGAGCAGCGCCGCCACTCCAGCCACGCCGAGGCCGACGCCCATCCCGAGGCCCGCCGCCGCCGCGAGCCCGAGCTTCGAGTCGCCGAGAATGGTCACCTCGGCGCTGCCCGGAGACTCGTCGGTCCCCTCCGGCTTGACCGAGCCGGGCGGCCAGAAGCCGTGGATCATGGCCATGTTGGCCACAATCTGCCAGACGGTATTGGTGTTCTTATTGCCACGGGACTATCATGAGCATGACTACGAGCATGAGTCGGCCACCTGCCAGTCGGTCGGCGAGTCGAGCTCCGCGAAGGTATGCTCCTCCATCTCGTGCAGCGCGACGCGGCCCCCGAGCCTGCACTCCTCCCTCTCCATCACCTGCGGGAAAGCTCCGAGAAGGCTCCGGGAAGGCTCCGAGCCCCCCCCGAGCTTCCACACTCCTCCCTCTCCATCACCTCCTTTGTGGTGAAGTGAAGATGTGGGGAGATATGGGGAGATATGGGGAGATATGGGGAGATCTCACCTCCTTCGTGGTGAAGTAAAACGCGCCGTTCTCAATCAGCTCGCCGTCCCAGTCCTGCCTGCGCGGCCGCTTGGCCGGGTCGTAGTTCACCTGTGAGTAATCAACCACGGATCATTAAGAACAGGGCTATCAGCTGTGAAGTTACTCAAAGGCGAGGTTGCAGCCCACCGCGCGCGCCACGCCGCTGCGCTTGTCCACCGACCACAGGAAGCGATGCGCGCGGACGCAGGTGACCAGCGAGTCCGCCTTGGCGCGCCTACCTCGGTCGGCTGTATCTCGGCTGTATCTCGGCTGTACCTCGGCTGTATATCGGGGAGATGTCAGCTCTATCTCAGCCGAGATCTCGTCTCTCGGCGCGCGGCATCGTCCCACTATATCTCGGCGAGATCTCGGCGAGATCTCGGCGCGCCGCATCGCGTCCCAACCCTTTTGGAAGTCGAGCGGCGTGATGAGCGGCGAGGTGGCCTGGGGCAGAGCAGAGCGCGTCAGTGGTGGTAGTGGTGGTGGTGGTGGTGGTGGTAGGAGTACAGTAGAAGTAAGAATCGGAACACAAATGAGGAACAATAATAAGAATAATAAGAATAGTCAAAATAAGAAGAATGAGAGCAGCGTGATCGGCGACCTGGACGAGGCAGAGGACGTCGTAGTTCGGGTGCGCCTAGAGGGCGGACGGACGCGCCGTCGTGAGCGAAGAGGGGCAATCGGCGGAGCCGGCCAGGCGAGTCGCCGCGCTTTGACAAAGTCGACCAGCGCTGACTCGGTCGACGCGGTGTTGGTCGCGGTGTGTGGCGAGCGGCGGTGGACTTTGGCGCCGCACTTCTTGGCAATCATGTGGATCTCGTCGTCGTCCGTCGAGACCCACACCTGCAGCGGACCAAGCGAAGCGGCCACGCGTCGGCCGGCGGGCGGCGGTGGAGAGAGCGGGCGGTGGCGAGGGCGGTGAGGGCAGCGAGGGTTGCGAGGGCGGCGGCGGCGGGACGGTCCGACGGGAGTGGCGGACACAGCGGCAGCGGCGGTGGCAGCGGCGGTGACAGTCTCTTGCCGGAGGTTCGCCGCGCCTCGTCAAAGATGCCAGAGTACTCTGCGGCTTGGATGACCCAGTCGATGAGCGGCCGGCCCTGCAGGATCTTGATGTTCTTGCGCGGGACCGAGACGGAGCCGCCTCGCGCGGGGATGACGGCCACGATACGAGGCACGACGTCGCCGTCGAAGACGGGAGAGGCGGGAGCGGCCATTGCTGCGGCGAGCAAGGAAAGCTGAATTTGAAGAATTCTACGAATACAAGCCCCTCTCACAGCAGACTGGCACGAACTAGCACCACAAAAGGCACAGCAGACAACGGCCCCTTATGGGCCGTCGAAGAGGCCGTCATACTCCTCCGGCCTCGCCCCCCCTTCCCAATCCTCCCCTGGCTCAGGCTCCTCATCCTCGCGGCGCGCAGTGCGCACCCCGAGCGGCTCTCCCAGGTCGATGGCGGGCGAGGCCGCCATCGAAAGCCTGGTGCCCGGCCGCGTGGCCCCCGGGCTGCGGGTGGGTGCTCGCTGTGGCGGCCGCCGAGAGGGCAGAGAGCGGCGGCAGGCCGCCGACGAAAGAATTCTCCTTTGAATTTGAAGAAAAACGATTCGTGCACCTGCCACCCCTGTGTCAGTGTGGCTGGAGAGACTGCCAGCGACAAGCTGGAGGCAGGTCGCTAGACTGAGATGAGACCGCCAGTGGATGTGGGAGTCCACCGCGCACCGCGCTGCGAGCCTGTCGTGTCCCTTGTCAGGAGCAGGAGAGCCCCACCTGTCCCCCTGATCGTTCTTCCAAAATCCTGCTCGTGCAGGTGGGGACCCTGTCCTCGTCCCATCCCTCGTTTGGCGTGTCTGTTTTCTTTCTTTCTTTTAAGCACAATTTGAGAAACTGCGAAGAGAGATAGGAAGTGGTAGACGCCCGAGGGTGGGCTAGCACCACACTCCTCTCCTTAAAATCCCTGTGTGGTGGCGGCGTGCCGTCCTCCCATCCCTCCCTTGCGCCTCTGTTTTCTTTCTTTCTTTCTTTGCACAATTTGCATCACAAGTTGAGCACGCAGAAGAAGCTAGCACAGAAGAAGCAATCACAGTGCATTCTTTTCACAACACTTCAACAATACAAACACTTCTGTTAATCATCTTCAACATCTCTCTCTCTCTCTCTCATCATCTTCAGCCACGCAGCCAAAGCCTCGTGCAGCAGTGTCCAGCAGGACGCGAAGGCACGGCTGTAGCCGCGCTGTCCTGGGCTGTCTCGGTGACGGTGGCACCCGGAGGGAGGAACTAGGGCGCAGAGGCCATTCCTGCGCGCCAGCGGAGAGGTCCTCACTCGGAGAGGTCCTCACAAGAGGTCCTCGGCGAGGACTAAGCAGCCAAGAACAACATTAATTCATTTAGCAAGTGGTCCGCTGCGCTATGTGCGGCCGCGACACTGCTGTCGGCGACGTGTCTGGCAGTCTCGCCCACGGGGGAGGGCGTGGCCGGCGTGGCTGGGGTGGGTGGGAGACAGAATAAGCCAGCGCGAGAGACTGAGCGCAGCCGAGGTCCTCACAATGCGGCCCGGAGCCAGAGGTCCTCACACGGTCTTCATACATTCGAACCTTTGCCATGCGCGCTCTCAGGACTCAGCTAATAAGTGTATTAAGAGGAGCCAGGGCGAGAGAGAGATACGGACGCAGGGGGGGGGGGGGTTCTAGCCGACGCACACGGGGGGTTATGGGATGGCCGGCCGGCAAGCTGTGAGAGCGAGGAGATTAATGTCTGTGAAAATGTGGAGTCATGTTTGTGTCAAATATTGTGCGATAAGCACCCCCGCTTCAGACGTTCGGACCATGTCCCTCACCGACTTGCTCCGGTGACACGTGGATAGGAAGGCTCGTCGCATCGCGTCGCTGTCGGTGGACCCCACCACGCCGTCAGGTATGGCGTCAGCGCACTCACGGGTCGCATCCAGCAGCGCTCTTTGTTCTGACGAGGTGCTGTGCTCTAGCTGATCGCCGCGTGTCACCATCCGGCTCGCACCCGCCGCCACCCCCGCCTCGTACGGCGAGAGGGCGTCCGTCCGCATCAATCAATCATCATGCGCCTCTCCCACCTTCGCCGCCCGGACGTGGATGTCGCGCCGGAGGCGGGTGGGGAAGGCCTCTCCGCATATGCAGGCGTAGTCCAACTCACAACTCGTCGAGCATTTTTTATCTGAGACAGCCGATCCTTGGTCGGCGAGTGCGCGCCGCCATCCACAGCCGCCTTCTTCTCCAGCACGGCCCAACGCCGTGACCCCCTCTCGTCGTAGGGCCACGCTTTCGCGAGCAGGCAGCCACGGGAGCCGGCCAGTCAATTTACAGGCGCGGTCTACCTACATTAGCGGCGCTCGGTGCCGGCGGGAGCCGACTGTGCTAGGATGCAAATCACGGCTAAGGACCGACGACGGTCGCCATCAGCGCGCTCTCATTTGGTGACCGTAGGCTGCTTCCCATGGGGACCTGCCTCTCCTCGCAAAAGGGCCGCCTGACCAGCGACTATGTCGATGCGGTCGTAAACAAGGAGCGCGGCAGCGCCAACAAGCCAAACGGGCCGGCGGCGTCGAGTTCGAAGATGAGCCTGGGCCCGTCGGCGAGCACGCTCGGCAGCGCCCGCTCCACCAGCGGCCATCGAGACCGCATGTCCACCTCCAACTTTGGGTCCGAAGAGTTGTCGTCCGAGACGACAAAGGCACGCGGCCAGCGGCCGGCGATCGAGGGGGGGGGGTTCGAGGAGGTCGACGACGAGATTGCGAGTGCGTTTGCGCAGGGCAGCAGAGCGCAGCAGGAGGGGTCCGAGCTCAAGGACATGGAGCTCTCCCCCGCCGACTGGGACTTGTTTCTCGCCGGCGCAAAGCAGCGCCGGTTCCTGCAGGGCGAGAGGGTGCTCGAGGAGGGGCAGCCGACCGCGGCCCTCTTCCAGATCCTTGCGGGCGAGCTGCGGGTGGAGCTCTCGCTCAAGGGACAGCCAGCGGCGGTGGTGGTTGGGCACCGCACGGCCGGGGACATGTTTGGAGAGACGTCGCTCCTGAAGGCGGGCGAGGATGCACCTCGGATCTCGGCTGCACCTCGGCTGCACCTCTGCAACATCTCGGCTGCACCTCGGCTGCACCTCTGCAACATCTCGGCTGCCTCTCGGCTGCCTCTCGGCTGCCTCTCGGCTGCACCTCTGCAACATCTCGGCTGCACCTCGGCTCCACCTCGGCTCCACCTCGGCTGCACCTCGGCTGCACCTCGGCTCCACCTCGGCTGCACCTCGGCTCCACCTCGGCTGCACCGCGGCTGCACCTCGGCTCCACCTCGGCTGCACCTCGGCTCCACCTCGGCTGCACCTCGGCTCCACCTCGGCCCCCGCCGCTCGCCAAGGCGGGCAAGGCGACCGCCTCCATCGTCACCGACTCGGACGAGGCGATCGTGGTGATCCTGGAGGCCTCGTGCCTGTGAACAGCGCCTCTTCACACCTGCAGCTGTGAGCAGGCGATCGTGGTGATCCTGGAGGCCTCGTGCCTGTGAACAGCGCCTCTTCACACCTGCAGCTGTGAGCAGGCGATCGTGGTGATCCTGGAGGCCTCGTGCCTGTGAACAGCGCCTCTTCACACCTGCAGCTGTGAGCAGGCGATCGTGGTGATCCTGGAGGCCTCGTGCCTGTGAACAGCGCCTCTTCACACCTGCAGCTGTGAGCAGGCGATCGTGATGATCCTGGAGGCGTCCTATCTCGACAAGCTCTTCGAGCAGCACCCGCACCTCCCCGGCCGCTTCTTCGCCTTCCTCGCGTCGTACCAGGCGCGGCGGCTCAAGCAGGTCACCGAGATGGTGGCGTCGGCGACGGTCGAGGTGCAAGGACTCGGCGGCGACAAGGTCAAGATCGCCGACGTGTTTGCCAACCCGGCCTACATGGGCATCTTCCGCAAGTTCATGTTCAAAGCG